CCAGAACTTCCCAAATATATTTCCTTAGACTAATGATGATTAGGGTACATAAAATTCTCCAGGAAATCTTGTTAATAACTGTAGGGCCTGGCACATAATGCATGATGAGTCTTCCTAGCCATCATTACTAAACATTTTCCATGTATATCAATTACAAGACACTCTGATATTGAGATTTTTGGATAGGACACAAGAATCAGTATTTTTGGATACCTTTACACCTAAGTATGAAGTGGAAGCAGACTTGAGAACCAGTTCTACAATACTGTCAAGTGATGCAGACACTAGTAATGCTCAGATTCTGCATCTCTTAGCTTAAAGTTTGAAGACAATTATTCTAATTGGGGTGTTGAGGTTCAAATAGTTTACTGTTTGACCAATCAGTTATGGCCAGAGAATCAGAACATACATATTTGACTGTAAAGGACTTATTTCTCAATAAAAAGGCCATGTTATGGTTTGAATGTTTGTGTTCACCTCAAAATGTATGTGTTGAGGCCTAATTCCCATTGTGATTGTATTAAGAGGTGGGAGATTTGGGGAAGTAATTAATTCATGAGAGCAGTACATTCTTGAATGGGATTAGTGTCATTGTAACAGGGGACAGAAGGAGTTAGCCCCTTCCACCATGTGAGGTTACACAAAGGAATAGGCCCTTAGTATACATCAAATCTGTTGACACCTTGATCTTGGACTTGGCAGCCTCCAGAAATGCAGGAAATTTCTGTTGTTTGTAAATTACTCTGTCTAAGGTATTATGCTACAGCAGCCCAAATGGACAGGTCAGTTCTTGAAAAAAGGAAAATTTTTATGAACTAAGAGGCTACCCTAAGAAATGTTTGACTTTAAAAACATACTATGAAGTGCCTTAAAAAAAATCTAACTAAATGCATTTGACCACAAAGTCTTTTTTTTACCCAAGATTTAATAATTTAATATCATTCACTACAAGAAATGTTGGTCCAGGAAGTTACTAAGTTAGAACTATTATGATATCTCCCTATCATAATTCTGTGCCTTTCCTGGCTTTCAATGGATACATAGTTTCTGTTTCTTTCCTTTCTTTCTTTTTTTTTGTTTTTTTGAGAGGATTTTATTATAGGGCTTGGGCACTCGTCAGAAAGACAGAGACAGAGAGACAGAAAGCAAAGAATCACCCTCCAGGGTGGATTGCCATGCCACAATCCCTTCTCCTTCATTCTCCTCCTGGGATCTTGGGCACACATGCACACACACCAGGTATGAGTTTAAGGCATCAAGTCTGGGACTCGAACCACGGTAGATTACATGGGAGTCCAGTGATGTAGCCGTTACACCATCTGGTGGTCCAATAGTTTCTGTTTAAATATTACACAACAGGTGACTCATCCTCACAGTTTTGAAATTCTTTGTCTCTCAGCTCACTAACTAGAGAGTTGCCCTGTAACAAAAAGGGCAAGGGAATAGTTATGAGTTTCTCAAACACTGTACATATACTTATTTTAGTTTATTATTTTACTTTTAGATAGTATCGCATTAAATTGTCCAGGTTAGCCTCAACCTCATGACCCTTTTGCCTCAGCCTCCCTGAATCACTGGGATTTAAAGTACATATTGTTCCACATGGCTTTTAGGTTGGACCAGGAATAGAACTTGGATCTCCCATGTGGTCCCAGACTGTGGAGCACAGCATCTTAGCAGCACAACCACTGTGCCTGGGTCACATATGTTGTTAAAATTTCACAATGCACTTACTCATATGAGAGATTCTGAGAAGACTTGAAACAAAGGTAATTATTCAACTTTGTTTGACCTAAAAGTTCCCAAACTTATTTCTTGGAAGGAACAAATGCCTGTCAATCAAACCTACTTTACCCACATGCAGTAGCAGAGTGGATGTTCGGGAGTAACAAGTTTATTTTTTCCTCTAGTTCCTTCTTGTTGCCTCTCAGCATTTTCCTAGCCTAGGAAGAACAATAATTTTAGAATAGGCTCACAGAGTTTTTGGTCTGAAACGGACCCTGTTAAGTTATTACTCAAGGCACCTCTTTCTAACTCATTTTGCCTTTTCTTCTATTAAAAGGAGAACAAAGGTTAAATAATACATTCTTCTAAGGCATTTTAATATTGTGTCAAAAGTACCTAATATGAAAGACATGTTTAGATTGGAATTCTGGTTCTTTTAGTCATACAACAAAAACAACTTCTGTTTTATTTTGCAGCACTTAAAATTGTTTTTGCTTAAATGCATAACTGAGCAGCCAATGAAATTGGATTAACCACAAATCAAAGAATGCCTGGAGTAATACATAGTTTAGAGACTTATCTTATGCATCAGCCTTTCTACTGTCAGCTTTTAATAGATAATATTTCCTAGAGCCTTTCTATGTATTTCAAACAATAAATAAAGCAAGTTACAACAGGTGTGTTCACCTACTGAATTTACCTCCCAGTACATCTGCATTTGCCATGGCTGCCCATGAGTTCCACACGTTTACAGAGCCAGGTTTACTGTGCTGCTTAGCATAGAGGTGACTTAGTTCTGAGGATGAGCATTTAGTGCACCTAAAGGATGAACTAACTTGGTCACCATCAAGCATTTTCCTTTATGTTGTGTGGAGACAAATCGTGGCTGCAAGAGTCACAAGAAATGGAGAAAAAAGCTTGATTGATCTGTACTGTATTCATGCTAGAGAAAACCATCTTGAACACTGTAAACTTGTATAACAATTAAATGTAAAATTAAAAAATGTAAAATAAAAAAGTAATTTAAAAAATATTGAAAGCAGGATTGAGACTTAGCTTCCTGACATAGCTCTCCTATTCATCAACACTTAAAAAACAAACAAAAAAATGAAGCTCAGGCCTAATAAGCATTTTACTCCTGTTATTTTAAATAAGGTCAGAAACCAAATACAAAGAGCCCAGCTCAAGCTGTCTGCCACCTGTCTTGGTCTGGCTGCATGAAGCTGCCACATATTCCCTGGTGGCTGCCCTTCCTGATTACCTAACGGGTTAACCAGCCATCTGTGTCTCCTGCCATCACTAATCAGGATGGTACACACATCTATTGTCCTTGGGCTTCAGGGCTCTTAGAGCATTATGGCTCTTGCCTATGGCTTATTACTTAAGGAAAGCTACTCTGGTTCACAGAAACTTTCTGAAACTCTCCTTTTCTCTCTTTCTATAACCCTCTGACAGCTTCCCAGCTCTTTCCACCCTTCAATGGTCCCTCATTCGATTTCCATTTAATCATTAAAATCATCATCACCAAGCTGTCTTTCTCCTGGACTCCCATCTGCTTTTGCTTTCAAATTCCACATGCTCTGGGACAAAGCACCCCTGAGAATTCCATCTATTTTGTAAATCTTCAAACCTTGAGTTTGACGGTTGCTGGTTCTTAATAGTGAGGGAAAGCCCCAGCTGTTTGGCCTTGAAGAAGGGAAACTGCACTCATATATGCACACACGTGTGTGTCTCCCTCTCCTGACGGTCACAACTGGCAGCAG